GGGTAACTGCTGTGCAGGCTGCTCCTGTGAGGCCTGCTGCCTTGCAGGGATGGTAAGGACAGTGTTTCGTCCTAGCTTTGAGTGTGCCTGATGGTGGGTTATGAAATCCCACTCTTTTGGAAGGGCTCCCCTACTCATGCTCCATTTTGGATCCCATCTTTATTTCCCCAGTCCTGAAAAATTGCTTACACCCAGGCAGAACGAGTGGAAAATGCGAGTGCCTCAGCAGCTCCTCTTCGTGCTGGACGCTGTGCTTCTGGTTCATGTCCCCAGAGTGGTCTCTGCAGTGGAGTATTTGGTCTCCCAAGTGTTGGTGGGCATAGCATGTGATTCCCTGCATGCACAAGGGCGAGCGTGGCCAAGCATGCTCAAGCGAGGAAAGACCCCTCACGCTCAGATTTCTTTGGAAACAACCCGTATGTTGATCTTGCCAGCTGATCCCTTGATGCAAGCCCCCAGTTTGGGCTGAGGTTGGCTGGGTTGGGTTGGATCTCCCTGATAACTGGTTTTTGGGCTTCTCCTGTCCTCTGCCTGTTCCTTCGTTGTTCCTTCACATGGACTGAACTGGACTGCGGTTGATGAAAGCATCCCTGACAGCCTGTGCTAATGTACCACTGACATCCACAGCGCCACAAGGCTACGACGAGCTCTGCAAGGACCCAGTCCTTCTCCTCCTCCATGCCCCAAGCCTGCTCATCCTTTCACAGCATTAACACCTTTCATCCTCTGTCCTTTGGGCGCCTGTTTTCTCGTGCATGGAGCCCAGTGGCTGCTCTCTCCACTGCATCAGGCTGCAGACGCCAGGGAGCAGCTTCCCGAAGTGACAGCTGCCCACGCCGACACCGAGGTTGGGACCGTGGCCCTGAGCTCATGTCTGCAGCTGCGGGCTGGGGTCTGCCAGCAGGCACCGAGAGCTAATCCCTTTCACGGCCAGCGTGGGGGTGGCAGGGACCTGGCAGCATCTGTTTTCCAGTGGCAGCATCACTTTCACATGAATCTTTTCACAGCCTGGACTCCCACTGGTGGGAGGTGGTGTGAGATGGCCACCATGGTCCCCAGCAGCCACATCTCGTGACATGCAGGCAGGGCAGTCTCCTCCTGCCTGTCCCTCCATCCCCTGTCCCCGTGATGATAGCGTGTTGTGGCAAGGAGGTCCCCCTGGGGTTTGCACGTCTGGTGCTGCAGATGCCTGGCATGGGCCATCTCCGTGGGTGCTCAGAGAAGGACGGCTGAGTCCCGCTGGGCTCAGGGCAGGCAGGGCTCCCTCCTGCCAGCCTGGGTCTGGGCTCTGCCGGTGGGACAGGGCGGCCCTGTCTGACATGGACTGGTTCTCTGCGGGATGCTCAGAGAGGCTACACCCTTGAACAAAATGAACTTCAAATCATAAAATTACAACAATTATTAACACTGTTTACTAGGCCAAGATCTGCAGCATTAGAAAGATTAAAATGCAGAATATGCAGAAACTACAGTGTTACAAACTGCCCAGTGGATTTGCTTGTGTTCACTGCAGAAGGAGGGATAAAATGAAGTTGTCTTACTCACATCCATCCTCATGTGCTTTTAAAAAAATTCCTCATTACATTGGTTTTGTGACATGAGTCTGGCCAGCCCTAATGAATCCTTTAGCAGAACCTCAGCCCTTTCCATGGAGTTTGCTGGTTCATAGATTTCTGGCATTGCAGACCTGATGTCCATACCACCTCCTTGACAGTGGCAAACACATCCCACAGCCAGAAAACTGAACTGCTGGGGCAGACAAAGCACCTGTCCCCTGCTGTGGTGTTTGCAGTAGGTAGGTAAATAATTAGCAACAAGAATTGATTGTGGTAGAGGTAAATTTAGTTCAGCTGCACTGAGACTATAAAGGCAGAGGAGGTGGGACTGACCTCCTTCCACTACCTCTGTGCAGGATGGGGCTTTGTCATGGGGGTGAGCTGGTGTTGGCTGGTTGTAACTTGAGGGCACGACATCTGTGGGTGTTGTTTTCAGCTATCAGTTGCTCCACCACAAAGTTTAGCTCTAGATAAATCAAGACTATTTCACTGAGTCCAGATGACTCATAACCACAGGGCAGGAAGCCCTTTTATCTTTGGGGCAGCCGGTTTAATATAGATAGATGTTCACTCCTGAGCTCTGAATAATTTCCATCTCTTTACTTCTCATTAAAACCAAATCAGATGAGGGAAAATTGTGAGAAATTTCTGTGTTGCCTCTGTTTCTACCATCTCTGAGGGAACTTCCTCCAAATTGTGCAGTCTGCCTGCACTGGGTCATTTGCCATATATTTTAATTGGCAGAAAAAAGTGCTTTTGCTCCAAAGCACCACTCTTTTTTTAAACCTTGATTCTGCAGGCATGGATGGAGCTGGGATTGGTTACAACAGGGTCTAACCCAGCTTCCAGAGAGGTACTTTTGGGGTCTTCATTCCTTTCCTGATGTAGGAGAGCATTATTACCTACTTGGATGAAGAGGAATGGCAGAGGAATTGGGCACCTTGCCAACAAACCTGCTAAAAGAGCTGTCTTCACCTCTGAGCAGCAGCTGAGGGTGGAAAGAGAAGAACTTGGGCAGCAGAGTGCTCTTAAACATGAGAGAAAAGGCAAGGTTTTGCTTGAGAGTCTTTCAAGTTGGTTGTTTCTCTTTCCTAAGTATGTCAGATAGCACCTTGCTTCTTGGGCTTGGTCTGTGGGTCAGGACCTGCCTTCCTGGTTGCCTCTTCCTGCCTGCACAGGCACGGGTGGCTTTTCTCTCTTAATTTCTGTCCACCAGTGACAGCAGAACTCTGTGATGCTTTTCTGCTCCTTTGATATCAGGGGTCTTGTATTTGTCATCTGTAGAGGCTTGTATGTGCCCTGTGCAGAGCCCCTTGGCATGAGGAGACTTCAGCAGTGGCCATGCCAGGAGCTGCTCCATGTCCGTGGTGAAACATGATGTGCTCAGGCTGGCACAGCCGTAAGCTGAGGACTCTGTGTCCAGAGCCAGGTAGGTCCCAGTGAGCCCAGGGCTGGTTCTCCAGCACTTCCCTGTGTTTTGCAGGTCTCTCCCCCCATGGTGATGCCCTCCCGGTGCAGCTCCACTTACTCCCCACCAGAGTCAGCGGGATCCTGCTGCGTGGATCTCAGTGACCTCCACGTCATTGCTTAGGGGTGTCTTGCCACCTGAAACTCACGTGGTTGGTGTTCACTATCTGTCAGGTCCATAAAGCCCTACATTCAGATAACACCCACCCCTGGAGGAATCCGGTGCAGCAACTCGACACTGCCGCTTGGGCCACACTCAAGACCTCTAAATCTGTAGGCTGAAGCCAATGAGATGAGTGATTGGCAGGAGCCAACCTCCCCATCATTTTACGCTTTTAAATATCACAGTAATAAAAGCTAAAATCATTAAAGGACTTCTGCAGCCCACTCTGTCTAATCTGAAATGAGGATGAGGAAGAGCACGCAGCGAGGTTGTTATTAATATCATGCATCCTGATGATGGCTTTATAAACATCATCATCACAGGCATGGCTTCGCAGTAGCATTTTGGCAGGACCTTCTAGACAACTGTCATGTTTTCTATCAGGCTTACCCCTTGCTTGATATTTAACCAATCAAGTGATGCAGGGAAGACCTTGCCCCTAAATATCTGATCTTATACAAAAGGATGTGAGGTCAAAACTGAGAGAAACTGTGTTAAGCGTAGTTGTGCTAAAAGCTCTTTAGGCCTGATGCTCCTTGTTTGGGAACTATGCCATGGGCCACGACAAGAACGGGATCAAGTGTTTGACACCAGTGAAAACCCTCAGTGCTGTAAGGGATGACTCATGGGCAAAAGCCCTGTGCAGCGGTGAGGCCACACTTGCACTGAAGCTGGGGTCTTTCCCTGGTGGGGATTAGGTCTTGATGGGGATGTGAGGGTCATGGCTGCAGGGAGAGGGGTAGCTCCCCCTCTGGGAAACCAAGAAAAGATGCCTTTCCTAGTGACTTGTACATATTTACTGTGGTTATTTAAAGTAGATATCAAAATCAGAGTGGAGAAAAGATTTTGTAGCTTAATCAGTGTGGATGGAGAAGGTGAAGAGCAGCTATAGAGCCTGGGTCTGCTTGTGGGCAGGAGACTGGGGGTCGCTGGTCCCCATCAGGACCTGGTGTTGTCTCGGTGCCATTGGAAATGGCCTTTTGGCCATTCCCTGCTCTTGCTTCACTTTCAGAGGTGCCCTTTGCTGGAGTAAAGACCCTGAGGAAAGCCATGTACCAGAGAGGGCTAGGGGATGGCAGTAAGCGCAGAAGATGGGTTCCTGCTAGAAGGATGGATGTGGAGAGGGTGCGCCAGGCAGTCCCAAGCCAACTGCATGGTGGGCAGCACTCATCCAGCACGGGGCTCAGGGGCTGCCAGTCCCTGCAGCCCCCACTGCTGGGGGAGTCTGGATGGCCCCAGATGGGGCAGGCCATGTCTGTGGGAGCTGGATGGTAGAGACTGGGAGTGAGGAGAGGTTTCCTTGGTGTGATGGATGGGAACCGGTTGTGGAGCTGAGCATCCCAGCTCAAGGGCAGTGTGCGGCCAGACCAGCCCTTGGGTCTGGAAGGAAACGTCTCACCTGCAGAGTTCATACAAGCCCCTTGGGACCCCTGCAGGGCCAGCAGCAGGGATGGGGGGGAGGAACGGACTGGCCTCAGGTGATAGCAGATGGAGGAGGGCATTTCTGGCACCAGCATCCGCCTTGCAGCTGCTCGCATCGGTGCTGCCCTGGCACTGCTCTGGCTCTTCTGGGTCATGCCTCAGTTCTGATGCTGCAGATGTGCCTCTGCCTTTCTGGCACATCCTCCATGCCTTGTTTTCCCACACCTCTTTGCCCTTTCCCAGGTCATCCTCCCCTAAAATGACACAGCAGATGCGGGACCTGCAGCTGGCGCAGGGCAGGCAGC